CCACATTGACAAAGAATAACCCCATCAGCCCAGTTTTCTGAATTGTACCAGTTGTTTTTTCTTTTTTAAATAAAATAAAAAGAAGTTACTGTCTTTTTGAAGGCTTTTTTCGATAATAGGATTTGTTATATAATAATATTCTGACTATCCTTTTGGAATCTCCAGCCTTTAGGAATTAGTCTGATTCAAGAAATCTCAAGAATAAAGGTCATTGTGGTAGGAATAGGAATATTTTGCAGCTCCTATTTCTTTATCTCTCAGATACTCCTCAGCTTACTATAATCTGGTTTCTGCCTTCTCTTGGTGAAATGGAGTCACTGAAGTCATTAGTGACTACATCCATTGCCAACCTTTGGTCTTGCTCGTTGTTGATAGTGGTTAAGAGCAAGGAATCTCCCACCAGATTGCGTGTGTTTGACTCTTATTAGCTTTGTGACCTTATGTAAATGGTATAGCATTTTTGTGTCATCATTTCTTCACTTGTAAAATGTGGAAAATAGTAATACCTACTTTATAGCATTTTAATGATAAATAGATTTAATACATATAAAGTGTTAGAACAGTACCTGGCTCGATTTAAATGCTGAAAAAGTGTTTGCTGATATATTCCCCTCCTCTTTGAAACTTTGTTTCCAAACCTCTGTGGTACCATACAGTGGGAGTTGCATGGAATGTGGAGTTGAGGTAGCGCAGAAGGCTGGTCAAAATTTCACATCAGAGTCCCTAAAAACTGTACCATGTGGAAACTGTTATACTGGCTTTCAGCACTAAGTCTAAGACTGCCATACAATTAACAAAGATACTAAAGGGAGTGACAGGGATCTATTTTAGATACTTTTCCATATGACTATAAGAAATACAGGAATAATGACAGGATAAGGGACTATCTTTAATTATAGCAGTTTCCATGCTTTGCATAGTGACTCACACAGAATACTCAGTAAATATTAGTTGATTTTATACATACATGTACACAGACACACACATATACACATATGTATATCTGATACAGTGAAAGTGAGCCCAATAAAAAATAAAACCAAAATCTTGACCTGTGTGTTTTTGGTCCACTCATCTCAAGGAAGGAATATGAGATGTCTGGTTGGCAGTCCCTCATAATGGCCAGCTTTGTGAGAATCAAAGAGTGTAAGAAAATTGTCAAGAGACAAGAAACCAGAAAAGAAAAGAAAAAGCAGAGAGAAAAATGAGTGTAACACAGATTAGAGGGGTGGGAATAAACAGCAGGTACTTTGGAGAAGCTCGTAAGAGACGGAAAATAAAGCAGTTTTGCATTGTGGTGTGGTGGTGGAAAAGTCTCTTAGTCCTCAATAGCCCTTGAAAGTGTTTGAACTTCTGTGTTAAAAGCTACTTGTTTCTGCTTCCTGTACTTTTTGAAGGAAGATTATAAAATGATAATAGTGAACTGTTTATATAAGCAAGCTGTATGTACACTAATGTTAACTATATTTTAAAATCATCTCATGCATTCATTTCAGTAAACAGATATGAAAAAGTGTTAGGAAATATTCCCTGGCTCTAAGGAAGGTTAAAAAGATAGAACTGCAAAATGATTGATTTTCTTTGTGACATCTGTATATAGCTGAAGTCCTGACGTTATGAAATGTGTACTGCCATACTGCACTTTTTTTTTTTTTTTTAATGTAACTTGACCTTTGACATTTAAAGATCTGTTGGGTTTTTGACTCTCAGTGATGGCACAGGTACCCACCATACTCATAGTTCCTCTTTAGCCACAATAGTACCCTTTACCCAGAGGGGAATATTAAACTCTAGAAATGTGATGCAGTTTCACAGTATGATTCAGGAGGTAATTAACCATAGCCATGGCCTTTTCTCCCTCATGATTTTTGATCTAAAATCAGAATCTTTAAAAATAGAGAAGTTTTAGGGAAGTTAAGAGCATCCTTTTAATAAAATATAAGGTGATATAATCATGTCTGTTTCTCATGGGAGATTGTATTCAAATATTGTAATAGTATATAATGCTTTTAGTACACTTAAAAATTGAGATATAATTTATATACCATAAAGTTTGCCCCTTTTAAAGTGTAAAATTCAGTGGCATTTATTATATTCACAAGGTTGTGCAACCATCACTGCTGACCAATCCCAGAATATTTACATCGCCTCATAAAGAAATCCTGTACCCATTAGTAGTCATTTCCCATCCCCTTTCCCAGGCCCTGAAAATTACTAATCTACTTCTGGATTTGCCTATTCTGGAAATTTTACGTAAATGGAATCATACAATATGTGGCCTTTTGTGTGTGATTTCTAAACCTTTTTAATGATGGTTTTTGCATTTTCAAAGTGTGTTCACTTTTTTTTTTTTTTTTTGAGACAGAGTTTTGCTTTTGTTGTTCAGGTTGGAGTGCAGTGCGTAATCTTGGCGCACTGCAGCCTCTGCCTTCTGGGTTCAAGCGATTCTCCTGCTTCAGAGTCCCGAGTAGCTGGGATTACAGGTGCCCACCACCATGCCCAGCTGATTTTTGTATTTTTAGTAGACACGGGGTTTTGCCATGTTGGCCAAGCTGGTCTCGAACTCCTGACCTCAGGTGATCTGCCCGCCTCGGCCTCCCAAAGTGTTGGGATTACAGGCATGAGCCTCTGTGCCCAGTCAGTATGTTCACTTTTTAAAATAAATGCATAACACCTCTATGAGATAGACAGGAACTTTGTGACATAGTTGTATTGTCAGATTTATTTATATTTATTTATGTGACCTCAATTTACCCTAGGTTGAGGAAAAGAGATACAAAGGTGGCAAGGCGGAAGTTTGGAAAAGTAAAATTAAAGGAAAAGTAGTACATGATGATATATGAAAAATAATTTAGCCCTGTGGGATTTCTAGATTCTATGAATATTAAACTTGATTAAATTGCAACTGCAATTAAATACTCTAACCGTATTTAAGAACTTAAAATTTGAAGTTGAGTCTTCAGTAGTTATAGGCCGAATTCCATTTCAGTGAGGTCGAAAGCATGGCAGAATTGTGCTCTTGATTATTCCAAACTCTTTAAATCTAAGCCTGTTGCTACCATGTGCAGAAGGGGTATGATATAAATTTCTTTTAATGAAGCAATTAATAGGTGTCTTTTGCTTTTGGAGTAATTAACTTACCGAGTAGGGGAGTTTAATATAATGAAAATGTAAAGCATTAATTCTTGAAAATTGTAAGTATATTTGAAATTAATGTATTAGTAAAGTGTACCATTTTTCTATTAAGTTTATACATTAGGTTTTCTTCCATTTTTCTGTAAATTTTATACATTAGGTTTTCTCTTTTTAATATATTAGAACGTGCTTTGGGAATGCAAATTTGTGCCGTTTTTGCAATTGAGTTTGTAGTTGTTATCCTAAGATCAATAGGATAACAAATCACACAGTAGGCTATCTTGGTGCCTACTATGGCTTCTGCCATTTCCTGGCACAAATAACGTTTTGGCTAAATTATTATTTGGTTCCTATATGGCTTTTTGCCTTGATGAGCTGTGCCCATCTATGAGTTGACAGGAAGGACTTCTTTTGCCTGGAAGCAGGCATAAATGATTGCCTCATGCTTCTCTTTCTTAGGTCTCTTATGCCATTCAACTTTTCTTTCTTGGGATTCTTCTCTCAATGGTAACAGCCCACTGGTCCTTTCTATAATATCATTTGTAAAGGAAGTAAGTTCTAAAAGGGGAAAATTATTGGCAAATGAAAAGGAAATGAGAGGTATCTTGAGTTTAATAAAACTCTTGCCCCTATTCAGTACTTGTAATGGAATCTTTGTCCTTTTAGATGCCCTGTCCTCAGGTTAAGTGGCTTAGCTATGTCCTTAGAATTGCTTTTCCATTTTATCCTTTCCGTACTTGGAATTTTTCTGCTAAATTGAAGTGGAGGAAGTGGAGACAGAGAAAGAGCCATGTATATATTGAGGGGAGGAGGAAATGCTTGGGTAACCAATGAGGAGAGTGGTACCTACTACCAGGAGTCTGGACAGGATTTTTTTGTGTGTGTACATGTGTTCGTATGGATTGCCATATATAAACCAGTATTAGCTTTGAACAGTATGTACATTTTCTTTTTCAGCTGAATTTGTTGTATACATATCTGCTTAGGAGGTTGGCATGGTTTATGACAAATATATGAGCATATGTATAATTCATTGAGTCTTAGAGAGGAATCTTAAAGGCTTTTTTCTTCCTGGTTAGCCACCTAAAACAGAAACTTACCATTAAGCAACTCTTGACATTTTGGCTTTTACAATTGCCACATTAATGTAGCTATTGATAGGGAATGTACTACTCTTTCTAGGCATCCCATTCTATTTCTCAATAAACCAACTATTAGAAATTCTACCTTGAGCCCCTCTCATTCTATTAACCCAGCCATTTAGCATAATTTTGTTCCTGTGGTACTAGTCCCTCTTCTATAACAACACTCTTTAGTGGTTTGAAGAGAGATCGATCAAGAGCCTCATTACATTTTATTTATGCTAAATACACCCAGTTTTTATTGAATTGTTAGTCATGTTACAGGATTTCCATGATCATCTAAGGGACATATTTTAATTCCTTGACTTGCATGTGTTTTTGACTAAAACCCCAAGAAAGAATACATTTTACATCCTGACTCAGTACACCCATATACATACATACATGAGGGTATATTTTTAAAATAAGAATTTCGTTAGACAACATATCTTTAATTTGATATTTTTGCTGTTTTTCATTTTTAAAACACGCTGGTTGATTTTTGTCACTTCTTGATGGATCTCAGTTTGGAACACAGTTCTGATTTGTTCATGCTGCAGAACTGAAATAAACAGTTTGCAAAAGCTGGATATTAGGGGTTGTTACTAAAATAGGTTTTACCTTTAATTCCTCAAAGAGAGTATTCTGATGATGGTTATTAAGTAAATCCTGACAGAATTCTTAAGTTCTAGGTAATGAATACAGTGAAACTAAAGTATACGCAACTTTTATTTTTGTCTTTAGGTGGCGACAGACAAGGTTGCAGAAAAGCTGAGCTCTACTCTCTCATGGGTGAAGAACACAGTATCGCATACAGTCAGTCAGATGGCCAGTCAGGTGGCGAGTCCATCTGCTTCATTACATACCACATCCTCATCTACCACACTATCAACACCAGCCCTTTCACCATCTTCCCCATCACAGTTGAGTCCAGACGACTTAGAACTCCTGGCTAAACTGGAAGAACAGAATAGGTGAGTGAGGTTGCTTGGCTTTTTTCTCTCCAATTATCATACAAATCCAGCCATTCATATTTACTTACATTAAGATTTTTTTTTTTCTATTTTTTGGCTTCTTATTTATCAAAGTTGCTTACAGAAGTGTTCGTCTTTTTTGGGGGGAGACTGGTCTTAAAAGAGACTAAAATTTTCTTCTGGCTCAAATAGCTTTATAGGTTTGTTTTCTTAATATAGCAAATTCCCTGAATCCTTCTTGAATTTTATCAGTTTTTTAAAAAGTAAATGAAACTATCACTTTTTAATTTTCAACTCTCTGAACAGTCTCCTTTGGTAAATCGTAAAATAATTTAATCTAGTATAGATAACTGTTTTGTGGTTTAGAGTGGAAAATCTTTTCATAAATTATTCATAGAAAGCAAAATATCCTTTTCTCCTAATGGGTATTAAATAGGATAGTTTTCTGCTCTGCTAGGAATGCATATTGACTCTGTGTGTTTCCTTACCATGTTGTTGTCAGAAGCTCTTTAGGGCATCATCTCTTTTATGTATTTATTTATATATATAAATATATATTATATTATAATAGATTATATTATAATATATTATGCAATATTTTATATTATACATATATATTGTAAATATATAGTATATATTATAAACACTATAATATATAATATATATACATTATATACATATGGAAGAGCACCCTTTTGTGCTCAGTCAAGCTATATGATGCTGGTGGCTTAAAATCATAACAAAAATAACTTTTAATAGGTTTTTTGATGTATCATTGGTATAATAAACTATGCGCACTTAAACTGTACAATTTGATACATCCTGACATATGTATACACCTGTGAAATTGTCACCAAAATCAAGAAAATGAACATCTCCATTATCCCTCCACTATCCACAGGCAGCCGCTGTAGTTTGCATTTTCTAGAATTTTGTAGAAATGGAATCATACAGTATGTAGTTTTTTTGGTGTGGATTATTTCACTCAGCATAATTTTGAAAGTCATGCTGTAGCACATATCAATAGTTGATTCCTTTTTATAGTATTCCATCATGTGGAAATATCATAGGTTGTTCTCTCACCTGTTGCTATTAAATGCCATAAACATTTGTGTATAAGCCTTTGCATGGATGTATGCTTTCATTTCTCTTGGAATGGAATTACCGGATCATATGGTAGGTATATGTTTAACTGCCAAACTGTTTTTCAAAGGGCCTGTACTTTTTGATATCCCACCGGCGTATGAAATTTCCAGTTCTTCTGCATCCTTGCCAACACTTGGTATGATCAGTCTTTTTAGTTTAAGCCATTGTATTAGGTATTAGTAGCTCTGGTTTTAATTTGCATTTTTCTGTTGGTTTTGAGCATCTTTTTATGTGCTTGTCATCTGTATATATTCTTTGATTTTTAAAAAAATGTGATTATTTGCTTTCTTATTACTATGTTTTGAAAGTTCTTTATATGTTTGAGGTAAAAGTCTTATATCAAGCACATGACTTTCAAATTCTTCCCCTAGCTGGCAGTTTACCATTCTGTTAAAAGCGTCTTTCAAAAAGCAGAAGTTTTATCTTATTTTATTTATTTTTGAGCATTTTAAGTTTACTCCTTTAAGTAAATCTAAAGCCACTATACATGTCCATGACAATTAGAATAGAAAAGAGACAGTGGACAAATAGAAATAGTTTCTATTCTACTTCTGGTGGTATTTTTCTGGGTATCAATAGAAAACATCAGTCAAGAGCATTTATCTCAATTTGTTGGTAAAATGTAGTTACTTTTGGCAAGTGTTTTGCTTTGGTATTTATACACAGACTGTAATGAGGTTGAGCTATCCCAACTTTCTTCTCATTTGTAACACATTCGTACAAACCAAAAAGATGAATCCTACTGGAAGTGGGTCTTTATCAGAAATATGCCCCAACGCAGTTAAGTGATACCAAGAAAATCATTTTCCTGTCCTAGGCCTAACATTATTTATACAAAAATTAGGAGATTGAATGACTATTATCTGTAAGTTCCTACAATTCATGTATACACATCAATTTATACATCATGATGTAGGTAGACAGTGAGACTGTACTTTCTGGCCCCCATGATGCTAGGCGTGGCCATATAACTTGCTTAAAGCAAATATGGTACATGTGTCTTGTAAGAGAAAACTGAAGTTTCTTTCATCTCTTTCTTCCTCTGCCGAAAGAATGACAGTCTCCCAAAAGGGACTTTCCTTCACCTTTGGTCCTGGAGTGAAGATGACTTGGAGCAGTGCTACAGCCAGTAAACAGCTGGCAATACTCACCAGGAAATGCACCTTTGTTGTTGTTAACTGCAGCATAACCTAATGAAAGCTAATTAATTATAAGAATTTGCTAATAATTGAGGATCAGTATATAGTTAAAACACAAACACCCAAATTTAATAGAAAGGTGATAATGTAGGCTGGGCGCTGTGGCTCACACCTGTAAATCCCAGTACTTTGGTAGGCTGAGTGGGTGGATTGCCCAGTCTCAGGAGTTCAAGACCACCCTGGGCAATATGGTGAAACTTCGTCTTTACTAAAAAAAAAAAAAAAAAAAAAAAAATTAGCTGGGCGTGGTGGCACGTGCCTGTAGTCCCAGCTACTCGGGAGGCTGAGACAGGAAATTGCTTGAGCCTGGGAGGTGGAGGTTGCAGTGAGCTGAGATCGTGCCAGCGCACTCCAGCTTGGGCTATGGAGTAAGACTCCATCTCATTTAAAAAAAAAAAAAAAGAAGGATGATAATGTGAAATATGACATCAGTGGAAATAAGTTAAAAAGCAACTTTAAAGAATTAAAAAAAATTGTATTGGTAGTAAAAGAAATTGATTTAAACATGTATGTAGAATTTTCTTTGTGATTTCTGGCCTGAATCCTTGAATGACTATTCCAAGTAAGAGTCAACATTTTTACAAAATTGTCATTCATCATTAAGATATTCCAAGATTATATTTCCACTATTTTATAAAGGACAGTCCAATTTAGCAATCTAGGTTTCCAAAGTAAGATCCAAGGATAAGGCTTCTCCTGAAGTAATGCGACACAACCTTAATTTCTTAGCTGTTAATTTTTTTTTCTTTTTTTTAAAATAAAATAGAGATGAGGTCTCACTGTGTTGCCCAGGCTGGTGTCAAACTCCTGGGCTCAAGTGATCCTCCTGCCTCGGCCTCCCAACATGTCAGGATTACAGGTGTGAGCCAGTGTGCCTGGCCTGTTAGTGTCATTTTTTTTTTTTTTGAGATGGAGTCTCGCACTGTCTCCCGGGCTGAAGTGCAATGGCGCTGTCCCTGCTCCCTGCAACCTCTGCCTCCTGGGTTCAAGCAGTTCTCCTCCCTCAGCCTCCCAAGCAGCTAGGATTACAAGTGCCCGCCACCACACCTAGCTAATTTTTTGTGTTTTTAGTAGAGACGGGGTTTCACTATGTTGGCCAGGCTGCTCTCAAACTCCTGACCTTGTGATCCGCCCTCCTCGGCCTCCCAAAGTGCTGGGATTACAAACGTGAGCCACCGTGCCCAGCCTATTGTCATCTTTAAGACTGGCCAGAGAAGCAGCAAAGTCTGTGACCTTTTTGATGCTTCATCCATGGAAAAGAACATTGGTTTACCCTTTCTTTGCTCCCCTTAGGTAAGAAAACTTGAAAGCAAATACTTTCTGCCTGTGGCAGTGATTTATCCCCATCATTGTATATCCTTAATTTCATCAGTGCAATTCCTTTGCAGCTGTTTCACTATTTTTTGTCACCTTTCCCTTGTTTACTTGCTGTCTCTCCTGTTTTGGAATCAATGTGTTTAACAAGTTTCTGAGTGGCAGCCGTGTAAGGCTTTGGGATTTCCAGTTTTTCACACTTGTGATCTGACTGATGATGGTGTCTCAGGCAAAAATTATTCTCACAGTAAGGACGTATAACTGCCACAAGTTCTCTTTCAACACGGCCCTTGAATGAGCATGGGTAAAATTTATGTCTTCAGTCTCTCATTGATTATAGTCATCTCAGGACAACCACGAGACTGCCAGCTTTTGTGTTCAAGGCAAAGTATTCCTGAGTATCACACACAAATGAAAGAAAATCTGGCAGTGCTGCCCAGTGTTCAACTGTGCCATCTCTCTCGTGCCACTAAAGAGCAGAAATTTTAAATTTTGATTAAGTCACAATTTCAAATTGTTCTTTTATGGATTGTGCCTATAATCCTAGCTACTCAGGAGGCTGAGGGAGGAAAATTACTTCAACTCAGGAGGCACAGGTCACAGTGAGCAGAGATCACGCCACTGTACTCCAGCCTGGGTGAGAGTGAGGCCCCGTTTCAAAAAAACAAAAAAAGTCATAGGATTATGTCTGTCTTAATGCTAGCACTATACTGCCTTGATTATTGTAGGCTTATACTGAGTCTTGAAATCAGATAGTGTTAGGCCTCCAACATTGTTCTTTTTTTTGGCCTATTTTTGGTCCTTGGCATTCCCAAATGAATTTTACAATCAAGTTGTTAATTTCTTATGGAATTTAAGAATGCCTGCTGGAATTTTGGTTGGGATTTGCATTAAATCCCTAACAGTATTGCCTTCCTCCCCATGAACACAATGTATTTCTCAATTATTATTTGTCAATGGTATTTTTTTTGTAAACTTCATTTTTAATTGTTCATCGCTAGCATATAGAAATACAATTGTCAACACCTTCTGTGTTAAAAAGAAAATACAGTTGTATTTATTTTTTTGTTTTTTTTTTGAAATGGGGCCTCACTCTCTCACCCAGGCTGGAGTGTAGTGGCGTGATCTCTGATCACTGTGACCTCTGCCTCCTGAGTTGAAATAATTCTCCTCCCGCAGCCTCCTGAGTAGCTAGGATTATAGGCATGTGCCACTATGACGGCTAATTTTTGTATTTTTAGTAGAGATGGGATTTCACCCTGTTGGCCAGGCTGGTCTCGAACTCTTGACCTCAAGTGATTTGCCTATCTCGGCCTCCCAAAGTGCTAGGATTACAGGCGT